GTGATTCCCAATCCCAATTCCAGAGTGATCCCCAATCCCCATCCCAGAGTGATCCCCAATCCCTATCCCAGGGTGATTCCCAATCCCAATTCCACATTGATTCCCAATTCCAGATTGATCCCTAATCCCAATTCCAGAGTGATCCGCAATTCCAATTCCAGATTGATCCCCAATCCCAATCCCAGGGTGATCCCCAATCCCCTTCCCAGACTGATCCCCCATCCCCATCCCTGTGAGCTGCACACAGATCCGCAGGAATTCCCCAGGACATTCCCCAATGTTGTGGGATCTCCCGTTTTTCCGGGCTCTCCCCCGGTGCCCATCCCCTGGGCGCTGATCCCGCCGGGAATGTTCCCTGTTTTCCAGCTGGGGCAGTTCCTGGAGCAGCGTCGGCCGCGCCCGCCCGTGCCCACCCTGGTGCTCTACGCCCTGCAGGTGGGCAAGGCCATGGCATACCTGGAGGCCATCAGCTGCGTCCACAGGTGCCTGGAATTCCGGGAATACCGGGATCCGAGCCGTGGGAATGCGGGAAAAGGGCTGGGATGGAGGCGGGATGGGCAGGAGGGGAGGGGAGAGGGAGGGAGGGAGGAGATTCGGATGCGGGGCCTTGGGGTGACAGGGGAGGGGGTTGGACAGGGGAGGGATCTGCTTCTTCTCCATCCCTTCTCCATCTCCTTCTCCATCCCTTTTCCATCCCTTCTCTCCATCCGTTCTCTCTCTCCTCCCACCCCGCCATTATCCCGGTTATCCAGGTGTTTTCTCTCTCCTTCTCCATCCCCTTCTCCATCCCTTCTTTACCCTTTTTCCATCCCTTCTCTCCATCCCTTCTCTCTCTCCTCACACTCCCTCTTATCCCGGTTATCCCAATGTCCCCTCTCCCTCTCTATCCCTTCTCCATCCCCTTCTCCATCCCTTCTCCATCCCCTTCTTCTCCATCCCCTTCTTCTCCATCCCCTTCTTCTCCATCCCTTCTCCATCCCCTTCTCCATCCCCTTCTCCATCCTTTCTCTATCCTTTTTCCATCCCTTCTCTCTCTCCTCACATCCCGCCGTTATCCCAGTTATCCCAATGTCCCCTCTCCTTCTCC